CGAAATCTATCAAAATTGGTTCCACCACTTGGGATCAGAATTCAACCACACATCACTGCAGCTAAAATAGACTTAAATATTATATCACCCCACCGTCTTCTGTCTTCTCCTCCCTGGCAGATGGTGAAGCCAGAAGTAGACCTCACTCTAACCAATCCAAAAAAGTCGGCTACCAATCCTTTGGTATAGCAACAATCATATAACCAATTACGCTCCAAATATAATTCTCACAGGTCCATTTTTACAGACGGGTCCAAGGATGGTGGCAAAGTTGCAAGTGCCACTATCGTTGGATCCAGAACTGTCTCCTCAAGAATCCCAGATTTTAGTTCAATTTTTACTGCTGAGGCCAAAGCTATCCTAACAGCTTTGACCTATATTAAACAACAAAACCAATCTAAAAATTTCATCATCTTCTCTGATTCGTTATCTTGCCTTCAGGCACTTAAAAGTGTCTCACCATATCACCCTATTATCCTTGACATTTTAGATCTCTATAATGATCTTTCCACTGGCCAATGTGACATCGTCTTTTGCTGGTTGCCAAGTCATGTAGGCATAACAGGTAACTCAAAAGCCGATGCTGCTGCTAAAGCAGCTCTTGACAAACCGTTATCTCCACTTCGTATCCCGTACAGTGATTTCAAACCTACCATCAAATCTTATACTCGGGATCTTATGCAAAAGAGGTGGGACACCCAAGTAGGAAGCAATAAACTCCACGAATTGAAACCAACAATCGGTCATACCTACTTGGGTTGTCAGTCAAGACATGACGAGGTCGTTTTACGACGGTGTCGTATTGGCCACAGTCGGTTTACACACGAATATCTGCTTAAGACAGATGAGGACGAACCTCCTAAGTGTATCCCTTGTGATGAAAGGTTCACCGTTAAGCATATATTGCTTGACTGTGTGGACTTTGCAATCGCAAGGGATTCACATTATCAAAGTGCAAATCTAAAAGATCTCTTTTCCCGTATCAGCGGGCATCTCATCATAAATTACTTGAAAGAAATTGGTCTGTATAATAAATTTTAAATATGTATGTGAATAATTAAATGCTTGTTTTTAAATTTGGTGTGATGCTATTAGCAACTGACATTATTAAAGGCTCTGTCCAGGAGGTTAACGTAGCGTAAAAATATTGTCCCCCTGTGTGACACGTAATCCTATAGTAATTGATGTAACTATCATCAACCAGTGTTTTAAGCCAACTCATTGATGAGTATTTTTTAATATTGGCTAGTATTGTGCACAACCACCAGTGGCTAAAGTGATGACGTAAATCCTGCTAGGGTATCATGCAGGAAGCAGAAGTACTGTAAGTCCCCATGATCCCCAGCGAGGTGGCCTAGCTTTGGTTACTGGTGGCCTATAGCCTGTTTTTTAAACTGTATTAATGATATTGAAATGCTCATATGTTTCATCAATTGTTTTTAAATATAGTATGCTCCAATATGTTTGATAAAGTGTTTTTAAATATGTCATTGCATAAATGACTTAATTGTATATATATTAGCTTGGTCTCGTCGCTATATGGCTGAAATAATGCCGATGCGACGTTAAATTTTAACTCACCTCATTAAAGATGTTGGGTGCGGTAAGAACCAAACTTTTTCAACTCAGAGTGTTAGTGGTCCTGGAACCTATAGTGTCAAACAGGTTCTGCACAATACGTCCATCAGATTCTACTGTTCAGCAACATTGTCACTGAATTTCAGAACTCTGGCATGATATAATAATCAAGGATTTCAATGGCAAAACCTTTTCTCGCCCATGGGCGAAATATTTCAATAAATCTGTAAAATAGCTGAATTGAGTAAAATTGAGTTACATTATGTGCCATGAAAATAGTAAGAACACCTGCATGTATTTGCGAAACAAAAACAGAAGTTTTAAGTAAAGGAAAATATTCTCGCCCATGGGCCAAACCCTTTTCTCGCCCATGGGCGAAATATTTCAATATCGCTATAAACTCGTTGAATTAAGTTAAAATGAGTTAAATTTTGTGTCATGATACTTGAATGAATACATTTAATGTATTTGCGAAACAAAAACATGAGTTTTGAGTAAAGGAACATATTCTCGCCCATGGGCCTACCCATGGGCCAGACTTCGCCCATGGGCCAGACTTCGCCAATGGGCGACATAGTCTAAATATTGAGTTTTTGAACATTTGTTTTTAATTTTTTCATTAAATTTTGTGCCATGATACTTCAATGAATACATTTAATGTATTTGCGAAACAAAATCATGAGTTTTAAGTACAGGAACATATTCTCGCCCATGGGCCAAACCTTTTTCTCGCCCATGGGCGAAATATTTCAATATCGCTATAAAATCGTTGAATTAAGTTAAAATGAGTTAGATTTTGTGTCATGATACTTTGAATAAATACATTTAATGTATTTGCGAAACAAAATCATGAATTTTAAGTATAGGAACATATTCTCGCCCATGGGCCAAACCTTTTTCTCGCCCATGGGCGAAATATTTCAATATTGCTATAAAATCGTTGAATTAAGTTAAAATGAGTTAAATTTTGTGTCATGATACTTGAATGAATACATTAAATGTATTTGCGAAACAAAAACATGAGTTTCAAGTAAAGGAACATATTCTAGCCCATGGGCCTACCCATGGGCCACACTTCGACCATGGGCAGGCCCATGGGCGACATAGTCTAAATATTGAGTTTTTGAACATTTGTTTTTCATTTTTTCATTAAATTTTGTGTCATGATACTTCAATGAATACATTTAATGTATTTGCGAAACAAAATCATGAGTTTTAAGTACAGGAACATATTCTCGCCCATGGGCCAAACCTTTTTCTCGCCCATGGGCGAAATATTTCAATATCGCTATAAAATCGTTGAATTAAGTTAAAATGAGTTAAATTTTGTGTCATGATACTTGAATGAATACATTAAATGTATTTGCGAAACAAAAACATGAGTTTTAAGTAAAGGAACATATTCTAGCCCATGGGCCTACCCATGGGCCACACTTCGACCATGGGCAGGCCCATGGGCGACATAGTCTAAATATTGAGTTTTTGAACATTTGTTTTTCATTTTTTCATTAAATTTTGTGTCATGATACTTCAATGAATACATTTAATGTATTTGCGAAACAAAATCATGAGTTTTAAGTACAGGAACATATTCTCGCCCATGGGCCAAACCTTTTTCTCGCCCATGGGCGAAATATTTCAATATCGCTATAAAATCGTTGAATTAAGTTAAAATGAGTTAAATTTTGTGTCATGATACTTGAATGAATACATTAAATGTATTTTCGAAACAAAAACATGAGTTTTAAGTAAAGGAACATATTCTAGCCCATGGGCCTACCCATGGGCCACACTTCGACCATGGGCAGGCCCATGGGCGACATAGTCTAAATATTGAGTTTTTGAACAATTTTTTTTTCATTTTTACCAAGAAAACGGCATGTTTAATTTTGTAAATACCTTTAACCGAGACTGGGCAAAGAGCGTAGAGTTTCTGGACTTTTGGGTTTCCAGAATTAAAATGGGATGTGTTATACTGTTTATCCACATCTGAAAGTAGATTAATGCTTGCCATAACTTTAAATACATTAAGTAAAAAAATACTGGATTCGGGCAGTGTGGGCAATGAATTAGGACGCGGCTTTCATCTCCAAACCTGTTTCTGTAGTAAAAGCAAAGTTTCTTCCAAAGTGAAAAGTTCTCATAACTTACTTTTTCCAGTCTGACAACATCACATAATCTTTTCTACGTAAAAGTTATATTTGTTTGTTTCCAACACCAACTCCTTGGTACGTCTCTATTTTGGACTTTTACCGCTTCATATTTATCCATTGGTTTTAATTCAGCCAGGATCCGTCATATAGCTGGAATATTGCTGAGTGCAGCGTTAAACAACAAACAAACAAAACAGAAAACAAAGAAAAGTAATTCAGCCAGGAGAAAGTGTCGCATACTATAACATACGTTTGTAATTGCAAAGTGTTTATCCACTTTTTTGTTTCAGTTTTTATTCGGTTTCGTGGGTCTCTGTGCCCAAATAAAAATACATGTGTAACTGTGTCCATGACAATTCTCCATCAATACTAGTAGCAGCATTTGGTTGTATTGTTCCACACCTTGGTCGAAATGCATTGTTCGGTGAGAATGAGTGTGAGTGAGTGAGTTGGGTTTTAACGCCGCTTTTAACAGTACTCCAGTTATATCACGGCGTGTCAGCTAAATGTGGGAGGAAAGCCCGAAGTGATACTTGTCTCGGGTGTTTATCACTTCGGTGAAATCCACGCGAACGGGTATGGTGCTGACAAACCTATAAACATAATCGGGGCGAACCGGGATTCGAACCAACAATCATAGGTTTCTGGCGTGCCCAAGGGACGCAACTCTGCACAGCGAATCGCGGCGCCTTAGACGACTGGGCCACCCGTGGTGGACCCCCCCCCCCCCCCCCCCCCCAAGGAAGCCACGCCATCGCCATCGCCCAGTGTTAACCACACCATTGCTTCGTAAAGCTTTGTGACAGTTTGTTGTTGCATACCGACAAAGGTCTTACACTAGGTGATTAAAAGGCCAAGGCCAAGGGCTCGACTTGGTGACGTACTCGTTGGCACGTGACCAACACTAGACCGTTCTTTTCTACCCTTTCAGTTTGTCATGGATAACTCCCGCTTATTCTGCCCCAGAACTTAAGCGCTCACTTGGTATGACGGCAGTGTTATTTTTCTATTTGATAAAGCTGCACAAGTCGACATGTTGGGAATTGGTTCGATATTGCATTTCAAAACATGACTTGGACAACGCCATGTGTCCATGTACAAACATCTGCACATAAACTTTATACATGTGATGTCTACCTACCTGAAAGTGTCAAATTACATGTACCGCAACTTTGTGGCACTCCATGGTAAAATCTCATTATATGCAACAAAGTAATAGCATGTACTTCTCATGTATGCATAATTCCCATTTTCCATTAAATGCAACAGGACTGGTGTCCTCGTATCCTGATGTAGATACTACCTGGATGAAGACCTCTCTTCAAAACCATTTCTCTGAACCTCGCCACCACGCCACTAACCCGACATACAAAGCTGAAACCAGGGACTTCATCACGAAGGAGTTCCGAAGCTACGGATTGGATACATACAGTCAGATGTTTGACACGGATCTTGCGACGGTAATACTGTTTTCACATGCTTTGCTTTCATATGATTGGTTGAATGTGTCTGTAGCCCGATGTACCGGACTTCACAACTTCCTACAGACCAACCAACATACTCTTTAATTTGATGTATTGTAATGTATGGCACATTCGTATTTGGGTGTAGGTGCAAAGAGCATAATTAAATGTAACTTACAACAAAATGTTCTTAAATGAAAGGAACGTCTGTCATCGTTTTCATATTTCTTTGCTATTCGGGGGCACTGGTGGTCCGGCCTTCTAAAAAGCCGAAATTCATGCCTGACAGAAACCTATGATCGTGGACTTGGATCGAAAACCAGATTCGGCCTGATTGTGTTTCTGCCTTTATTAGCACAATAGTCGTTCTCTCGGTTTCCGCCAAAGTAGTAAACGTCATCACTTCGGGATTGCCTCCGACACTAAGCTGACACATGATGACATACCTAAACTGGTTTCAAAGTGGCGTTCAACAACAACAACGTGAGGCACTAGTATCATAATATAGTATCCCATCCTTGTGTAATACCCTCGATTTAACTTCCAGGTGAAAGGTGTAAATGTCATCGCAATTTCGAAGGGAACGTATTTCAAAACAAATAAAGATCAAATAGTTGGAATCGGAGCTCATTACGACACTATGCGAGACACTCCAGGTAAGTATTGAATCGTAATCATGATTCATAATATTAACCTGCATCCGAAACGCAACAGCTTCATGTCGTCGCGAGTGAGTGAGTGAGTTAAAAGTTCCCATCGGCATTATATCCCATATAGCGGCGATCGTCGCAAGTATCATTATGACCCTATGAGAGACACACCAGGTAATCTGTTGTTTTTTCATCATGATTACATTCCCATTCCTCTGGCATCCAAAGTAACTGCATGCGAAATGCAACAGTTGACTTCTTCATTCATTTGTTTTAGCAAAATGAACATTTTATCAAACATGACATGACCAGTGGAACTTAGCACGAGCAACGATTAACACCGAGTGTTACGACGGCACGTAAATAGTCAGGTCTCTCATTATTTGTATGTTTAGGGTGTTGTTGTTCACAGCAGTCAACAATTCTCGAGCTTTATCACAGCTGCTTGTGACCCGTGAAGAATCCGGGGTAGAATAGGTCTTCAAAAACCTATGCTTGTCGTAAAAGGCGACTAACGGGATCGGGTGGTCACGTTCACTGACTTGGTTGATACATGTCATCGATCCCAATTGCGTGGATCGATGCTCATAATATTAATCAGTGGATTGTCTGGTCCAGACTCGATTATTTTACAGACCGCTGTCATGTAGCTGGAATATTGCTGAGTGCGGCGTTAAACAACAAACAAACAAACAAACACAGCTGCTTGTTAATAATGACATCTGTATCAGGCATATACTGACAGTTGTTGATATTGTCAGTTTGTACGCAGTCAGGCAAGGCACCTAGCCTGGCCGCTCGATCCTATTCAGCCGCAACTTCGACAAGTGAGGTGATGTGAAATGGGGTTTTACGTCGCGTCCAAGATTATTACACTTATATAGCGACGTGCATGCACGTGTGTGTGTGTGGCTGCTTGTACTAGTCCCCACTGATGCCGATTTATAGTGCTAGCTCACTGAAATACCATGCCGCAGTTAAACATGAATACTCACTCAGACACAGTATACTGACTCCGAGCCGACCAGTCCTTGTTTTAGCCCCTTAATGCCGATCGCCAGACAGGGTAACAACAAGTTCCATCTTTTAATGTCTTTTGGTATGACGCGGTCGGGGATCGAACCCCGGACCTTTCGCTCTCCGGGCGGACGCTCTGCCACTAGACCACGGAGATGGTCCACTTCGACAAGTGAGAGCGTCCAGGAGGACATTATGACGATGGTCACCCATATATGCTAATTTTAACATAGAATACCTTGAAAGCAAATGTCCAGAAACCATCAGAGAGACAAAACACTAGCCCTGTACGCTTCTTGCAGGTGTTGACGACAATGGCGCTGCAGTGGTTGCAACGTTACAGGCAGCCAAACATCTCGCCAAGATTTCACGAAACTACACAGTGATTTTTGCAGCCTTTGATTTCGAAGAATGGGAAGAACCAGGTTAGTACTCTAACACTGATGGTTGATACTGCTGGACAAGAAAGTTTAGTATGCTTAAAATATTTACGACACAAACACATTACTCGCGACTGCACTGTACACCTTTATGAATAAAAGCGACAAAACCCTTTCCATGTTCATGAGAAATCTCTGCCCAAAACAGTCGATTGTAGGATTCCGTCTACATCATGAGCGTGTGTTTATGAATCACTATCAAATAGTGTTGATACCAGGTGTTCGCGAAAAGGTGAGCGTAGCCTGCTCCACCGGTGACACCCGTCAAAAACACACCCAGAGGCAAGTCAATTGTTCACCCGATACAGTACGGGAACATATGGTACGTACTAGTCTGTTTCTGTAGTTGGTTTAACATTTATACTTTTTCTAAAGATCTTCCCCAAGTGGCGTGTGGAAACCTGAGTTGTGGAAGCACAAAGTTCCTCAGTGACTGGGTTCCCACGTTTTGGAGCACGACACCTGCTGTAAAAGGGATCGTCATCATGGACACCATTTTTAACATACAGGAAATGCCAAACACCCAAAAACTCCCACCTGGTTTGGATCAGGTAGTGGCAAGATATTATTTATCATCATACCGAAACATATTATATTATAGGTGGTTATTACCTTGTATCTGGCTGGACACCAAGTTGACTTGAATACAGAATAGTTTTGCAAGCGGTTTTTTTTACCGAATACGTGTACCTCAATACTTTCGCAATGGTTCCTCTCCTTTCCGGGGGAACAAAACTATCAGCCTAGGATGTAATTTTTCCAAATCTTGTACTTTCTGATAGCTTTGCTGAGCCTTCTGTCTGACGAATTCCCACTTTCGTGGTTTCGGTATCTAACAGTTACGGTTTATATAGCGTCAAAGCCACAGCACAATCAGTCTCGAATATCCGTCAAAACAAATCCAAGTGAGTGCAAAAGGCAAAATAGCGGTGAAATTTATAGTGCCAGTATGAGCAAGAACGCAATATGTGACCTTGTTTCAATGAGGTGATTTCTTTTTAGTAAAAGTTGTTCTTGCAAGTCAACCGCAAATTTTCAAAACGTTTGGAATGGTCTGCAACCTTTCTAAGGTAGGGAGTAGGGATGTTGTTCAGGATGTATTACTTCTTTGAAAAGTACACATAGGATACAATAGGAAGACGTCACAAGAATTATTAATTGTTCGATGCGCATCTTCTACAGGTTGCCCCGAGGGTTTTTGAAAGCGTAACCTCTGACGGCAAGAAGGGAGATTTCATCGCAGCGATTGGTCGGCCCTACGACTCTGACGTCCTTGAAGCCTTCGTCACTTCTTACACCGCCTTGGGTCAACCTGAGTTCGAGCTTGAGAAGATTAACATCACCGCTCTGACTGGCCCGACAGTAACACCACAGCAATTCATGATGTTCCAGGACTTCATGAGGAGTGACCACTACACCTTCTGGTCAAACGGAATCAAGGCAATCTTCCTGACGGACACAGGTGATGGTTTGAGCGCAACTGTCATGTGACTTGCGTCTGAGAGATAACTGAGATATTTTTATCATTATTTAAAAATTCAACTTGAGTAGGGAACATACGTCATTAGTATCGAACTTAAAGCATTACGACTTCGATGTTCATTTGTTTGTCCTGGTGAAGCAGAATGTTTACTGTTAAAAGTACCCACGAACTCCAGTATGGTGTTAACGAGCCAAGGTTTGTGATCAGCACGAATCTGAGATTAAAGAGTTTTATATAGGATCCCGGAACGCACAAACGGACGCAACGCCAACGACTATGGCGCTACACTGCCCCAAAATTACCTGATGCAGTCATTTCAAAACGTATTAATATCCACAAGACTGAATAAATTATATCTTGTATGAACATGACCAACACGTGCACTCTTCTTGCATTACTTTAAAATGTGAACGTTATGTCTCAAGCCGACTTCCGAGGGTACATGGAAGTCTGCTACCATCACTCCTGTGACAAGTTAAGCCGAGTGAATGACAAGATGCTTCAGTTTCTCGGGAAGACTACCCAAGCCCTCATTGGTACTGTCAACAAACTGGCACCATCTAACGCATCAGGTAACTCTAGCAATGATACACTGTTTGGAAGCTTTTGATGAAATTGCTTTGGCTTATTCCTGAAATATTATCACTGACATGAGTTTAACGGTGATTCAACATCACAACAGGGCTTGTCAGATTGTGGAAGTTATGCCCCAAGTGATATTTTACGCAGTTAAAGTTGGACCTTGACACCAACGTTCAGGACACTTAAGTAGGAAAGGGAGACAAATCTTTGTATCGGATTTGGACAATGGCCCGTCCGTTCTTCTGAAATAGAACACAATTGAAAAAAAACATATTCAACAATGGATGGTGGCGAGACAAAAGACGCTGCAAAACATATATCTACAACATATGGTATTGTCCATTACTGCGTTAGGGCTTTCTTTGTCAATCTTATTAAATTATTGAAATGTGCTGTCCTCATCAAAGCTGTACCTAGGAGGACGCGACATTGTTATAAACATCAACTGAAATGGTTTGCTGCAAAAAGAAACAATGTTGTCTGATGCAGGGTCATAAATTGGGAATTTTGACACTGAGGGGTATTTTACCCCCCATTCTCGTTTCTATTAACACATCTGATAACGTTCATAATGTTGTCCTAATATTTGCTCATGACTTCAGTCTAAAGATCTTGTGTGGCAATAACAAATTATTTTACAGGACATATCTTACGTTTTGATTGCATGTTGCTGTTTACATTCCTTGTTTGATGTTTCAGGGATCCCTGGGAACAGTGCTGTCCTGTTGGCATGTCTCGTGGCTCTGTACTCAAGACTCGCAATGCCAGAATAGAGGGACATCCTTCTCCAGAAACAAAGTACTTCATTCAGCGTGGTACAGTCCCTTGTGTCGCCTTGATCTGCCATAGAGACACTTTGATAACTGAACGTATGCGTTTCTTGGGTATTTTGGCGAGTTAACTACACGGTATATCTATTATGAATTTTATGCATGGTTTACTTTCTATTTAATTTAATTCATTCAGGATTGTGTTCAATCTCACAATCAGGGGAAAGAGGACGAGTACATCCAGATTCAATGGCCTATTTCTGTTGTCTACATAATATATCGGGCAGCAATGAGTAAAGCTGTTGCAAGATAGCACTGTAAACCACATACCGACCGACCCCACGGCATGTAAGTCTCACAACATGACGGCCGATTTTAAGGAAAGCCTTCTTATAGTTGAAATAAATTAGGTATACAATTTGATATCGAAACTGATTTATACATATAAGGCTGCTCGAAATTCTATTTTACTCATAGGATGACTTTGTGTCCAAACTGTGACGTAAAGCATTAACTCACTCACTCACACTTGTGTCTAAACTCTTTTTTAATAAATGTAAAAAAAAAATGTGTTGTAGCTTCATATGTGCACAGTCATATAACCACATTGCAAACTGTATTTCCTTTTCGATTCTTAAGTAGAAAATAATGTATTGCTGCCATGATTAACAACAAATAAATTAATAATAAAATTCCATATATACCTCAGAAAGTTGTTGTTATGTGTGTTTTAATAGCGTACCTATGATGTGATAGATGCACGAACGTTCACCCAAAATACCAAAGATATATACGGTACAACATATATCAGTTGATGTTGCTGATCATACAGAATTGGCAATAGAAGTGTTTCAGTCGATGTGCCTGAAGACCGAGTGCTGGGCAGATCAGTTTAGTCAGGCTCAATCATGTACAGGCCTTCGTGATACATGGAATATTGCAGACTGTGACATTCACTCACTCAGTGTACTAAGTTTGGTTAAAATTATCATATGTCAAACTAGCTGATTTGTCAGTAAGAGACCAGTGTTCCCTCGACGTTGTAAATAAACTTGGGTTGTGTTTTGCTCATAACATAGTTTGGGACTACAATAGGAAAGAAAATGCAATCATCGTTTCCTAGGGATATGTCATTACACTGTCTGGTACACTGTTGGTGTGTACGATTTTGGTTGGTTGGTTGGTTGGTTGGTTTGTTGTTTAACGCCGCACTCAGCGCAATTCCAGCTATATGTCGGCGGTCTGTAAATAATCGAGTCTGGACCAGACGACCCAGTGATTGATATCATAAGCATCGATCCACGCAATTGGGATCGATGACATGTATCAACCAAGTCAGCGAGCCTGACCACCCGATCCCGTTAGTCGCCTTTTACGACAAGCATAGTCACCTTTAACAGCAAGCATGGGCTGCTGAAGACCTATTCTACACCGGAATCTTCACGGGTCTGGTTAAAACGAACTCCAAAAACACGAAAACTTGAGCACATGGGAGTTTGAAGTTCCTATATTTTCATCAGGTCTTACTGGTTCTTGACTCACTTGAAACTTGAAAAAAGCACTTATCTATCTACCGGTCACATAGCCGAGTGGTTAATGCATTGGCTCAACACACCAAAGTCCAGGGTTCGATTTCCTCCGTTGATGCAATTTGCGGCCCTCATGTTTGGTGTCTCCCGTTGTGATATGGCCATGTGAACCTCAGCTCACTCACTCATTTACTATTAAACGTTACAAGCGAGCTGTTGTTATATTGGCTTCTGCTACATGACTTGAAGTGCAGAAATAAGCGAATTTTAATCGCAACGTTAGACACGTTACCGAGCAACAGTCTGCATTATGTTTACATTGCCCAGGGTTCGTCGAAAGCTGATATTCTTTCAGTTGATATAACTAATGCATTTCATGTGATTTAGTGTCACCATTCACTGATAAATGCTTTGTTTGGGGTAACTGTGTTTGAACCCCGTTCAGAAGTAAAGCGGCAAAATCCTTTAGATAATCATAAGAGGTCTACTTTGTCCATTGTACAATTCCGAGTATATATCATAAGTATGGGTGCTTGTTTTCAACTTGTAGTTCATACTGCGTGAAACGGGGACATGTGTTCTCAGAAACTACTGAAGTTACATGAATGAAAGTGTTCAGGCTTATCTCAGAGATACCTGCCGAGAGTGAGTTCGAAAAGAGGCGGTGTGAATTATTGTTTTACAGAGTTATGGCCCTTGCACCCTGCTTTTCAAGTTAGTGCATGTTGCGTGAAACAGGGACAAGCTTTTGCAGAAACTACTGAAGTTATATGAATGAACGTTTGCATGCTTAACTAAGAGATACTTATCAAGACTGAGTCATTTGTTCCAGAGAAGGGGCCTTTTGTGTGTATTAATTTCATATCATTTCTTCTGATGACATAAAGAGGCCAAAGTGCATATCCCTCCTTTAGGATTTGTAGGTATCTTGTTTGTAGTTTATATTCACTACTATTTGAAAAAGCAATAGTCTTATGTGCCCCTTGACGGGGGATTGGGATGAAGCTGTTTTCTTAGTTATGATGTCATGTACCAGGCGACAGAGGCTCAGAATGACATTATCTCATGGTGCTGAGAAATATATCACGTATATATGCAATGTACATGTAAATTTTGATATCCTTAAATGAATTCATCTGAACAAACATGGAAGTATACATCAGTATACTGAGTATTATCAAATGAATAACTCATCTATTTGGCATGGAGTGGCACTTTCATATTTGCAAACTTGGATATACTAGTAGCTGACATATAGTTGTCTTCAACACCCGCACCAATCCCTATCAGCCATATAATGTCATCGTTGGAACCATAGCTAACTTTGCAGAACAAATCAGATTCATCGTTGTTCTGTGTACATGCTTGGATGGGCGTATCCTCAAGATCATGGTCATTCTCAAGAACCTGGTCCACCTCCTAAAATGCCAAGTTCTAAAGAGTTGTTTGTGTCCAAAGGAGGTTCAATGAATGAAACGCTGATGCTTTCTTGGATAGAACGCGTGTTCAAATCCCGTGGATCGTATTTTGTGAATCAACCATCTCTACTCTTGATGGACAGTCACAGAAGTCATTACACTGATCCTGTGGTAAAGTCACTGAAGTCCCTAAATGTCGCCACTAAACATATTCCTCCAAAGATGACATCCTATCGCCAGCCTCTGGATGTATCAGGTGGGGTCAACGTTCCATTCAAGGCTGCAATGAGAAAAGCTTGCCAAGATTGGTTGATCAACGGGGACAAAGAATTCACCACAACCGGGAACAGAAAGAAGCCATCTTATGATGTTCTTCTCCAGATGGTTTCGGAATCGGTGTCTTCATCAATTCCTTTCAGCTGTGTGGTGTTGCTGAGTTCGGCAATGACGTAACAATGGCTTTGTTCACTCGGATGAGAACAAAGGCGACGATCCCTTTGAATCTTCCACCCCAGAAGATGAAGTAGAAGACTGATTTACAGTCATTAAAGATCTCACATCGAGTGTCTAAGCTCTCTTTACAATTTTGAACTTTTTGAATTTGAAAAAGAATTTTATTTTTTAGGTTAAAGTGTTGTTGTTTCATTCCAGTTGTGAGTATTGTTTCATTAAATTTGAGATATTCATTTTCCGTTGCGTATTTTTGTCCATTTTTCGAATTTAAGCTCTGGGCTTAAATTTGGATAAAATGTTACCTTATTAAAATAGGCAAAATCCGTAATTAAGTCCCGGTATAATGGGGACTTATGAACCTTTGCTACCTGCATGAACCCCAGCAGGATTTACATCATCCCTTTAGTCACTGGCGACTATTGACAGGGTTTAGCCGGGGATTTGAAACAAACGAATATTCTACGATTAAAACACTGGTAGACATAAAAATACTTTGATTTATGTGTCTTACATACCCTCTCAGGGGGACTATAATTTTACGCTACTTCAACCCCCTTCAACGATAGAGCCACTAACAATCTCAGTTAATAATCCTATACTACCTATTTCTAAAATATAACTTTTTACATAAAAATGTATTAATTAATTCTATTTCATTTAAAAAACCGATGACTAGAGCATGTATTTGATTAAAAAGATCCTTTATAGGTGACACTTTAAAATATTTTCCCTTGTGATGGAAAAATCAATACAGTCAAGCAGGACATGCTTAACAGTGATTCTTTCATCACAAAGGATACAAAATAGAGGATCCTCATCTTTCAATAAATATTCTTTTGAGTACCTGCTATGGCCAATACGACATTATGACCTCTTCAAATCTGGACTGACAGCCCAAGTAGGTATAACCAATATTTGGTATAATTTCATGTAACTTACTGATACCCACCTTGGTGTCCCACTTCTTTTGCATTAGATCTCTGATGTGACATCTAATAACTGGCTCATAATCACTGTATGGGATCAGAATTGGTGTCTCAGATTTGTTGAGTGCTCCCTTTGCAGCAGCATCGGCCATTGTGTTACCAATGATTCCAACATGGCTCGGTAACCAACAAAATACGATGTCGAATTGGCCAGTGGCAAGAGCATTATGTAATTCAACGATTTGGAGTATAAGTGGATGCTTACATGACAAATTTTTAATAGCCTGAAGGCACGAAAGTGAATCTGAAAAAACTATGAATTGTTGATATGTAGATATGTTGAAATGGGTACTTGATATATGTTAGAGCTTCTGCTGTAAAAATGTGGCTGTCATCTGGTAATCTTGATGATATTGTTCTGGATCCAATGATAGTGGCCCTAGAAAATGCGTCACCATCCTTGGATTCATCTATAAAAATAGATTTGTGAGTATCATATATGTTTCTGAATTCATTGTAGTCTTGTTGATAAAGAAAGTTCATTTGTGACAGATTTCTGAAGTTTAGTTAAAGTCAGGCCAGACTCTGGCTTTACTAACTGCCAAGGGGGAGAAGCAAAAAGCTGGTTTGGGGCTATTGTGTCAAGATTTATTCTTGCAGCAGCATTAGATGGTTGAATTCCAATTCCCAGAGGTGGGACAAGCGATGATTTCTTTTCATAAAGGTCACCATAAAGGGAGTTAAATACGCAGTCAAACGCTGGGTTAGATTTGGAATATAATTTAGTTAGATATTGTAATGATAATTTTTGACGATTTTGTTTCAATGAAGGCTCCTCATCCTCAACATATAAACTGTCAGTAGGAGTTCGAAAAGCTCCAAGGCAAAAGCCTCAGGCCTTGGTGGTGAATAGAATCGAGTGTTTTTTTCCAAATTACTCTTACAGGCCCCACCATAGACAATGGAGCCGTAACCTAGCTAAGAGCGGATGAGTGCTCTGTACAGTTAGAGAAGGGTTTTCTGATCCCCTCCCCACTTGGAATTCGAAACCACTTTCAACAAATCGAGTGCCTTCAGGCATTTAGTCTTTAAAAAGTTTATATGCGGTAAAAAGGTCAAGTGATGACCTTATACCTTACACCAAGGAACTTGGCCTCTTTTACAACATTAATAGGAGCTCCATCCAGCACTAAATCAGGGTCTTTATGAGGTCTATTTTTTCTACAAAAATGAATGCAGTTAGTCTTGGCTTTTGAAAACCATTTTCAAGGGACCATTTATGAATTTTATTCAAACATAACTGTAGTTGCCTTTCAATGGTATGCATCTTTTTACCACAAGTAATATTAAAATCATCCATGAATAGAGATCCATCGATTGAA